CTCGTACATCAATTAAGGATGAGTTCTGTGGGGGTTTAAATAAGAATGGCCCCAATGGGCTCATAGATTTGAATGCTTAGTTGCCAAGGAATGGCAGTATTTAAAAGGATTAGAAGGGTTAGGAGGTGTGGCCTTGTTGGAGGAGGTGTGTCACTGGGAGTAAGCTTTGAGGTTTCAAAAGCTCACACCAGACCCAATGTCTGTCGGTCTGTCTGTGTATATGTGTGTGTGTGTGTGTGTGTGTGTGTGTGTGTGTGTGTGTGTGTGTGTGTGCTTGTGTGTGTATTAGGAATTAACATACTTAGCTACTGCCCTTTATGCCTCTATGCTCCCTGTCATGATGATTGTGAACTACCTTTGAAACTGTAAGCAAGCCCCCCAGTTAAACACTTTCCTTTACAAGAGTTGGCTTGGTCATGGTGTCTCTTCACAGCAACAGAAGAGTGACTAAGACAAACTTTGAGAATACACCTGTTTGGGGACCCTCTGCATAGGCAAGACAGCTGTTCAGCTTGAACTGTTTAAGGGACCCAGTGGGATCAGGATCTCTCCTTGGTGCATGAGCAGGCTCTTTGGAGCCAAGTGTCTATGGTGGGATACCTTGCACAGCCTTGATGCAGGGGGAGGGGCTTAGACCTGCCTCAACTGAATGTACCAGGCTCTGCTGACTCCCCACAGGAGGCCTTGCTTTGGAGGAGGTGGGAAGGTGGGGTGGGTTAGGGGGTTAGGCTGAGGGGGCGGGAGGAGAGAGGGAGGGAGGGGTATCTGTGGTTGGTATATAAAATGAATAGAAATTTTCTTAATAATAAAAAAGGGGGAAAAAAAGAATACACCAGTTCTAGCTTCCAGAGTATATCTGTCTCCATGTAAGCAGGAGTGTGACCATGGGCATGGGTTGGTATTGTAGACTCCCATATCACAGACCTCAGACTACCCAAGCTATGAAGCAGAGATGCAGCACCCAGGCTGCAGAACCACTCATGGCTATGCATCCCCTGACAGCACCTGGCCCCCAAGCCTGCTTTGTGTTCTAGTAATGTCTTATTCAAAAGTAAATGCTGACAAAGGTATGCCCACACAGCCACTCAGTCCTGGATGAGGGGAAACCACCAAGCTTGCCACAAACGGGTATGACCTGGTTGCATGGGAATGACAGCGTAGATAAGTTTCTTAAGTCTTCTAACTTTGCTGCCTACATCTTTCTTGAAGAAGAAAGGTCTCCTCTGGGCTTCAGCCCCTCTCTGCTCTAGAGTCCATCGATGCTTGGGAGGCTTCCCTGGGCCTTCCCTGCTAAGCCGTGATCATGAGCCTGGCCATGGGCCCCACTTCAGGAGAGCAATTCCTGGTACAGTACTAACAACTAGACCATAAGCAAAGGCTTCGGTTTCTATAACTGTGACACAGGATTAATAACTGGTAAGTTGGGGTTTGGGGAGGGCTGAATGGGTAGCAATGACAGGCTTCACAACAGCATAAATCCTGGGTGCTACTATCACCACAAACAGAAAACTAAAAACAAGGGTAGTCATTGTCCTGGAACACTTCCTCTGGACTAGACACAGAATTGTGAAATGTGTGGAGAGGCTTTGTCACTGGGAGCACCTGCCCGTTCCTGGGTGTCCCCCCACTGCAGGACTCTGGCAGCTGCAGCTGCAGGTGGTCCCATGGACTCCGGCAGCTGAAGTGATGGCTAGAGCCCAGACCCTCTTTCTTTGGGTGGAATCAAGGAAGTGCCCAGCGGGTGGGCAGTGACCCAGCTTCACAGTGGGAAGTGACCGCCTAGGGAACCGGCTCTGCTACTAACAGGGTGAAACAGACAAGAGCTCTGGCCCTTCCCTGTGCATGAAGGGGCACTGTGGGAGGGAAGCTCTGCATGAGCTCCAGCTGGCATGCTCTAGCCCAGCAGGGAGCTGGGGACATAGACAGACAGACACACTGGGTCTGGGGTGAGCTTTTGAAACCTCAAATTGGAATTGCACTATGAAAAAAATCTGTATTTCAAAACAAGAGAAGAGCACTCGGGTGTTCCTCTACTCTCTTCTTCACCAGGACCTGAGTCACAGGACCACAATCTACACGCACAGGAAACCAAACAAATTTCTCTAGAGTTGGAATTTTTGCTTCAAATTTTGTCTTTATAACACATTTTGTCTTTATAACTTCACATGTTTGAATTGTGTGCAATGTGGTCCTTGTCATAGTTTGCTTCTCTGTTGCTGTGATAAAATACTGACCCAAAGCAACAGGGAGGAAAGGGCTTCTGTAGTGGGCAGCCATTCCAGCTTGATCTGGAAATTCCAACCCCCATTGAGGCTTCCATAACTGTCACGCCTACAAGGCTGGGCCAAGGGAGGAGCCGGGAGACCCAAGATCTGGATAGGCCAGCGTGCTCTGTCGGTTCCCGAACCCTAGACGGCGGAGGTTGACCGGAGCAGAGCTCCAGAGAACACTGCTGGACTTCGATACACCTTCCCCAGACCCCACAACCTACCTTTCCCTTTTTTGTAAGTTACCCACTAAATAAATCTTCCTTTTAACTACGTGGAGTGGCCGTAATTTCACTAATAGGCTTCTGTGGTTTCTGTGTTCTAACACGGTCCATCATTTAGGGAAGTCAGCGCAGAAACCACGAGGGAACTGCTGATAACTGCCTTGCTGCTCACGGCTTGCTCAGCTTTCTTTCCTATAAAACCCAGGCCCACTTGCCCAGGCGTAGCCCTCCCACACCAATCACTACTCATGAAAACGCTCCACAGACATGCTCATATGACAAGGACATGGAGGCAGTTCCTCAGCTGAGGCCCCCTCTTTCCAGACTGGTGTCAAGTTGACAAAAACTAACACGCATGGTCCTTAAATGTGCCAGTGAAATGGCATTTCTTGCTGGAGCACGTTCGCTGTTCAGTCTGCTGGATTGGAGGTGGCCTCTGTCACAGACTGGACAGTCTGCATCTTATCTTGCCTGTGCATCTTTAACAGTATCACACAAGGGGCACGTTCTACGTCGTCCCCCTCCACCTTACCTGCAGACATGAAAGTCAGACCACAATGTATGAGGCCTCAGCGTTGGCTATGAAATGCGTCACCTCACGACTAGCCTCTTAAATTCACTTGATAATTCTGTAATCTCCTGGGCCAGCTAGTGTGGTACATGCAGTGGAGAAACAACACAGAGATCCTATTTTCAACGAAGGATAAGGCAAGGACTGACGCTCAAGGTTTTCATCTGACTTCCACACTCACTGTGGCACCAACGCACCCAGATTCACACATGAATGCACATATAGAAACACACTGGTACAGACATAAACAAATTCTGATAAACCAATTTTGATTATATAAGATACTACAATACTTTTTTAATAAAATACTTTTATCTTTCTGTCCTCAGATATAAATATTGCTTTAAATATCTTCGAGGACAATAGTTCAATATAAAGTTCCACTAAATTAGACAAGTGGCTAATTAAAGTCTCAAAGGCCACAAAAAGGAAGTGGAGAAGGGTAGATGGAAATACCACAGGGAAACTACTTCAGAGCATCTGATACGAGAAATGATAATATTAAATAAAGGATTTGTTACTATGTATCACAGTAAAATTACAAAATAACATAATAGTTACTTTTATATAGTCACACTAAACCAAATTTTCTGAATATAAAATCATGGCTGAAGCTTTTACCTGCCAGACAGCACAGTGCGAAGAAGCAGGGGTGTCCAAGGTACAAGTATTTCCGGTGTACGGGTCATGTACAGACAGCACCATTCAGATGGTACCAATGTTAACTATAACATGAAAATTAGGAGTGGTTTTCAAAACGAAAAGTGTTATTATAAACGTTGGCAGGCATTAGGACCTCACAGCACACCGAAGCCCCATGGGTCACTGCAATGTGAGCGCACAGCAGAAGCTGGGTACTTCATCATGTCAAAGCTGACATGTGGCAGTGTGGGACCTGTGCTCTTAAAATGTGAGCCAATCCACATGAGATGGTTTAGGCAGTGGCGGAGTGGTAGTCCTGTGGAGGGTGACACAGACTAAAACTAGGGCTGGCCCCCAGGAAGGCAGAGAGGAACAGCTCAGGGCCAAGTACCCTGGAGGCTTGAAGCACAACTTGTTTATGAGTGGATAATGGAGCTTGCTAGAGGAGACAGGGGATGGGCCTAGCTTAGAGTGTTCACCTGAACTATCACAAGAATCCAGCACTGGGACGCTAATGAGTAGCAAGGAAAAGGGAGATGAGCACCGATTTTTACCTTGCTGGTGCAGTGTCCTTGAGGGCATCCCTGGGTGCCTGTTACAAGCAGCCCCACCAATTCTACTGCAGCCACTGGAGAGACCAGTGTAAGACTGGGCCACTAGCCACCTGTTACATGCACAGCACAGAAAATGGCCATGCTATACAGGAAAGGCCAGCTCCCTCCCCAAACAGGCCTGCAATGCAGAGTAGTCTCTTTGAACTGGGGGAAAAGAATGAGGCCCACATCTGCAAAGAAAGCTTTTCAAGGGAATGGGAAAAATGAACAAAAATTGCTTATTCCAGAAGGTCTGGGCCAAATCCCTGTGGCCAGGCTTGGGACCACGACCACATTCTTGCTTTGATGTCTTCAAACACATGGATGTGCCAATGTTGAGCAAACCCATGACATATTCCCCAGAATATGAATCATTTTATCTTTCAAATACCAAAGGAATCATAAGAACCTCTCATCAGAGACTGAGAAGACCAGAATGAGTATGGCTGTCCATCCATCTTCTGTCCCCTGGGCCTTGTTCATCCTGAAGAGATCAAGGAGGGACATCAAGGTGGACAGCACAGGGCCATGGCGTCCTTGCCACCTTGCACTCTCTAGTGCAGCTGCCACAGTGGCAGGCGTGAAGCAAAACTCTACAGAGTGCAGAATAAGATGAGCTGGCTTCTGTAGTGTCAGGTGCTGCTCCAGGCCCCCACCTGTCTTTCTTTATCCCTCTCTACCTCCTTCTCCAGGTACAACCATGAAACAGACACAGGCTCATATTTATTGAAGAACGCCAGCACAGATGGGCTATTGTTTCTAAGAGGGTTTTCTTAAGAGGAGGGAAGCTCAGAGGAAGGTGAGTCCTAGAGAAGGGGAATCCAACATGGGCCTCCTGTAAAAACTGTCCCATCTGCCTCAATGGCTAAACCATGAACTCTTTCTCGTTTCTTCCTGTATTACCAGCAGGTCAGCAGTCACTCAACCACAAACAGCTGAAGTTTCCCATCCAAGGTGGCAGTGGTAAGCTGTAATACAAAGTAGAGTACCATGTTATGACTAACCATTTTTCATTTACGAGTCACCAACGAGAAAAGTGGCCACAAAATTTATACATTATTTGTAACGTTTCAAATCAAAGAGAAAAATTCATTAAATTAGTAAGATCTGTTGCAATAGTGTGATACATATACTTCATTAGTCCCAGATACATTCCACTGATACTTTAGAATCCAAAATGCTTTGGCCTTAGATTTCTGAGATTAAGGGAAGCCTGGGTGACAAGATCTTATCTCCACAAAAAGAAAAAGAAATGGAGATCACAGGACCCATGGGACATTGTCAAGCAGACCACCATGTACCTGCAGGACTTTTAGGACATGAAAAAAGGAATCAAGGAGAATATTTAAAGAAATAATGGCACAAAATATTCCAAGATTAATAAAAGATATATAAACATCTGTGCTCAACAAGCTCCCAAGATGAACTGGAAGAGATTCTCACTCATCCATGATGTAGTAAATCTCAAAAGCCCAAACCAGGCTGAATCCCAGAGACAGACAGACAGGGTGCTTTCAGTAGATGACAGACTAAAGAGATCAAAAGAAAATGCCTCTGTCAAGCGAGAGTCCTGTATCATCTAGTAAACACGCTGGAGTCGTGATGGGGAATTGAGACTTCCCAGATAAGGAAAGATCAAGGGAGTTCATTACCACTAGACTGTCCTATAGAAATGCTGAAGGGAACCCACTTACAGGTAAGGTAAAAAGACTTTAAACATGGACTCAAAGCCACGTGAGGATAAAGGTCACAATAAAGTTAAATATATGAGCAACTATTAAATTAAGTTTACAATAATAGAACTCTATAATTTTGGAGACTATTTCTATGTGTATGGGTGTTTTGCCTGCATGTATATCTGGTGTACTACATGAATGTAGTGTCATGGAGGCCAGAAGAGGGTGTCAGATTCCCGAGGACTGGAGTTACAGGTAGTTGTGCCCCATTGTATAGATACTGGGAATTGAATCCAAGTCCTCTGGAAGAGCAATCAGAATTCTTAACCCCTGAGCCATTTCTCCAGGCCCTTAGTAACTATTTTTAAGGGACAAACACATTATTAAGAAATTGTTAGTGTCAAAAAATTAATATTGTAACTTGGATTTGCAAACCCACATTTTCATACACAATTTAAGAAGCAAGTGAATTTTAAAATTATTATTGGCTTATACTTTGATGGATACATTATATACATAACATTGTCACTTTTAATTTTAATAAATGAAAGAAGGTCAGTGAGATGCTCAAGCTTGACAACCTAAGCTCAATCTCAGGAACCCACGTAAAGGTGGAAGGAGAGAACAGACCCCACAAAGCTGTTCTCTGATCTCCACATGTTCATTATGGCATGGATATATTCTCCAAAATAAAAAAACAAATTTTTAAACAAGCTGAAAAAGGCAGGAGTAGAAGTGATAGAAAAAGCATATTTTGTATGTTATTAAATGTTAATCTAGTGTAAATAAAATTCAAAAGTTTCAGCTTTAAGAGGTTAAATGCAATCTCTACAAAAACAGTATCTATAAAATATACACAAAAGGAAATACTCTGAACCATTTTATTACAAGAATTGACTAAAGACAAAGGAAGAACATATTCGAGAAAGGAGGGGGAAAACTAAAAACCATGTGAGGAAAGTACAGAAATAAGCTCCCTCCTTATCTATAATTACTTTAAATGCAAATAGATTGAATTCTGCAACAACAAAAAGTGGTAGAGATTGGAAGAATGGATTAGAACAAGTGACCCACCTATATGCTGTCTACAAGAAACTCATTTTAGATACAAAACCACGAATACATTGAAATGGAAAGAAGATAGTCCATGCAAATCACAACCAAAAGTGAGTGGGGATGACTCAGAAAACCAGACTGGGTCTGAATTACCTTACTCAATCTCTTTTAGCTCCATCCATTGTGTCCATAATCTCCTTTGTGTGTCTACCTTTGGTGTATGGAAAAGCTATTTACCTGTACAAGCTCATTTGTATCCTGCCACACTGCTGAATTTGTTTATTGTTTCTAGAAGTTTTCTGATAGAATTTTTAGGAATTCTAATGAATAGTATTATATCATCTGAAAATAGGGATAGTTTGACTTCTTCCCCTATTTGAATTTTTTCGTCTTATTGTTCCAACTAGTACTTAAATACAACATTGAGAAGGAGTGGGAGTACTGGACATCCTTGTCTTACTCCTGACTTCAGTGGGATTGCTTCAAGCTTTTTTTAGGATGATGGTGGCTGTGGGTTTCTAGTATACAGCTTTTTATAATGTTGAGGTATGTTCCCTCTAGCCCTACTCTATCTAGAACTTTTATCATAAGACATGTTGGATTTTGTCAAAGGTTTTTTCTCTGTCTACTGAGATGATCATGTGATTTTTATTTTTAAGTCCATTTATATGACATATTACCATTTATTGACTTGTGTATACTGAATCATCCCTGCATTTAAATATATAGCCAACCTGTTCATGGTGTATAATCTTTTTGATATATGTCTATATTCTGTTTGCAAATATTTTATTGAGCATTTTTGAGCCTATGTTCATCGGGAATATTGATCTGTAATATTCTTTTTTGTTGTTGTGTCTTTACCTAACTTGGGTATTACAGTGATATTGGCTATGTAAAAGGAGTTTGGGAGTGGTCCTTCTGTTTCTATTTTTTTAATGAATTAAGAATGACTGGCCGTAGATCTTTGAATATCTGATAAAATTCTGCTATGAATCCTCTCACTCTACCTCCTTTTTTTTTCAGCTGCAAAACTTTTTATTACTGTTTCAATCTCCTCATTTGTTATGGGTCTCTTTAGCTTTTTTATTTCTCCATGCTTTAATTTTGGTGGTTTGGCTGAATCTAGAAATTCATATATTTCTTTTTGGGTTTCCAGCTTAATGGAGGACAGGTTTTTAAAATATTACCTTATTATATTCTGAATTTCTTTAGTGTCTATTATAGTTTCTCTGCAAATTTCTGAGTCTGTTCATTTGGGTTCTTTTCTTTTGGATAGTTGGACAGTCTGTTCATCTTGTTTATCTTCCCAAAGAGCTAGCTTTAGACTTGTTAGTTCTTTGTATTGTTTTCTTTGTTTCTAATTCATTGATTTCTTCTCTGATTTGTATTATTTCTTGCTGTTGACTGGGTTTGTTCTTATTTTTTCAACTTTTTGAGTTGCATCATTAAGTCATTTATTTGTGCGCTTTCTGATTTAGAGCTATAAATTTCCTCCATAGGACTGCTTTCTATCGATCCCAGAGGTTTTGTTGTATTATGGTTTCTTTTTCATTTAGTTCCAGGAATTTTTTAAATTTCTTTCTTGATTTCATCTCTGACTCATCATCATTTGGTAATGAGTTGTTTAATCTCCATGAGGTTTTGTATTTACTAGAAACTTGTTTGCTGTCAATTTTATGTTTTATTGCATTGTGGTCAGATAGGATACAAGGAGTTATTTAAATATTTTTAAATTTGTAAAGATTTGGTCTTTGTCCCAGTATGTGGTCTATTTTAGAAGAGCTTCCATGTGCTGATGAGTATAATGTGTATTCTTTGTTGTTTAGCTGGAATTTCTGTAGATAACTGTCAATTTGATGTGTGATATCAATTAATTCTGATATTTCTCTGTTTTTATTCTCTGTCTACTGAAGGAAGTGGAGTAATGAAATAACATACCATTAATGGATTGTTAATCTGTATCTTTAATTCCAGTAGTAGATACTTTTTATGAAATTGGGTGCCCAGACTTTGGTGCAAGTATGTTTAAGGTGGTAATATCTTAATTGACTGCTCTCTTGAGAAAAATGGAGTGTCCTTTTTATCTTCTGATTAGTTTTAGTTTGAAGTCTATTTCATCAGATATTAGAACAGTGACACCTGCCTGCTTCCTGGTCCCATGTAACTTGCTTCCTGGTCCCATGGTATTTTTGTCCATCCTTTTACTCTAAACCAGTGTCTATCTTGAAAGATAAGATGTGCTTCTTATAGACAACAGATAGACATATTCCACTCAGTCAGCCTGTATCTTTTGATTGGATAATTGAAGCCATTGAAATTTAAAGTTATTAATGAAATATGTTTGTTAATTATAGCCACTATGTTGCTAATTTTTGCATAACTGTTTGTATTCTCAGTGTACTTTGTGTTTTAAGAATTATGGCATCATATTTCTTTTCATAGTCTCTCTGATATGTTCTTTCCTCTCTTCAGCCTGAAATAATGTTCCTGTATTTTCCTTAGGTTTGGTATGTTGGATATACATTTCTTAGGTTGTTTATGTCATAAAAATTTTCTCCTTCAATAATGGCAGATAGTTTTGCTGAGTATACTATTTCAGGTTGGCTGTAATAGTCTTTCAGGACTTGGAACGCATTGCTTGCTCTATTGTTCAAAGTTTCCATTGAGAAATCAACCATTATTCTGATGTGTTTTCCTTTATTTGTGACTTTGGTTTTTCTCTTGTGACTTTCAAAACTCTTTGCTATGTATACTTAGTGTTTTAGCTATGGAATGGATTTTCTTTTCTGGTCTTGTCTATTTGGTGTTCTGTATGCTTCTTGTTTCTATATGGATGTGTCTTTCCTTATTGGGGGGAATTTTCTTCTCTATCTTGTTGAAGATTTTGTCTATGTCATTGATTTAGGTTTCTTCTCCCTCCTCTATACCTATATTTCAAAGTTTTGATTTTTTTCATAGCGTCCCACATTTCTCATATTCCTTTCCTGTGTTTTTAAAATTGTTCATATTCCTTGCTTATTTGGTTTGGATCCTTTATTTTATCTTCAAGTCTTGATAGGGTCTCTCTGTGTAGGTCTGGCTGTCCTGGAACTCACTCTGTAGACCAGGCTGGCCTTGAACTCACAGAGATCCACCTGCCTCTGCCTCCTGAGTGCTGGGATTAAAGGTGTGCACCACCACCACCCTGCTCATCTATGTAATTCTTATTGGCAAACATTTCTACGGGATTGGTA